TGTATTTGATAATAATGACTTGAGAACTGTGATCTTGTCTCCATTCCCACACTTGCTGAATGAGGATTCATTGAAGAGCCCATGCCAGGAGATGTCTCAGAATGAAGCCAGCAAAGGGAAAGGATGTTTGCCCAGCTGTGCCCCTCCAGCAGTGCTCTTGCCTCTTCAGCAAAGCTGTACTGCCAGCCTGGCCATTCCAGGGCAGCTGGTTGTAAGGGTCTGGAGCTGCTCACCCTTAGCAAAGACCTTCCCAGGCCCTGTTACAGCAATGATTTACAGAACCTGCTGAATTCCCTTGTGTTTGAATGCCCTTGTCACTGGATCCCCTTCAGTGCAGGCACTGAGTGCTGTAAGCAGAGATCCCCACATAGCAGCATGGGAGCTGCTGCAAAAAAACCACTAAAAACCCTTTCCACAGCTTCAAGCACATTGGGGCAACACTCAGCCCAGAGAAAGAGAAGTTTTTACCATTTTAAGCCTAGACTGTTGTTGATAAAATCAGATTTTTTTCCCAGAGAGATGGTATATGGTATTTTAAATAAGATGATCAGACAGGTCAATTCTTATGATAGTTGAGTTTTTAAAAATTCTTAGGAGTTTAGTTCAACATTTCAATACAACATTATTCATTCTTCTGCTGCTGTTGTCTCCTAGAACACTGCAATAGCAAAGGTAGCCTACAAATAACCAGAAATATTGTGAACAGCTCTAGGAATTTCACAGTAGGCATACGTGCAATTGAAGTGTCCAAGTGATATGGTGCAGAATAATTATTTAAATAACATGCTAATCTTCACTGGAAATTAGCAATACCATCTCAAGCAATGCAAATCATAAGCAATTACATGGAATTATCTGGTTACTTACACTGCAAACAGAAAAGTTAATTATTTCTACCCAAGACAGCAGCCACAGCTTTAGCACATTCCCTTTCTTGCAGTTTTTGGAGCTGCTTTCATCTTCCCAAGTTCTAAACTTTGCTTTGCTTTTGTACTTACATTCTCTAAAACTGAAAATGCAATCACACATATATAAAATAAGGATATTTTAATAAAATTATGTGAGAATTATTAACAAATGGGTCAACAGTTCCATTTCCCTCCATGTCTAGAGTTGCAGGACTTGGTGAGCAGTTTGGAGCCCAAAGGCCTGATGAATTAACACACACTGTGTGCTGCAGCTTTACATTTTCTGACCATCTGTGACAATTGCTGTGTGTTCAGTGCATTGAAGGCTGCAGAGGGATCACAGGTTCCAATCTTTCTCTATCACTCAGCTAAACTAATGAAGATATTGGCATAGAAAACATTTTCTCCTAGTCAGAAAAAACCTACAAAATGTGCAGGCTTGAGACCCATTACAGCTGTGCAGACTCCTGTTGAGATTCTTTCTTTATTGACCTTTCCTGCATTTTTTTCTGTAAAAACATTTCTTAAAACAGGATTTTATTTGACCTTTGTTAGGTATTGAATCAAAAGCAAAAGCTCAAGTGCTGTGGAAACCACAGTCTCTCATGTGTTGGTTTCCAAGGGCACTTTCTACAGATTTTTTTCATCTCTTCACCATATTTTAAAATCTTCAGTTCTTCCAGCTAATCTGAGAAAGCTCCATTTTCTTGCCTGCAAGGTTAGTGGGTGGTTGGGTCTGACATTCAGTACTGAAAGTCTCAGATCCAAAATAATGTGTTCAGTAGCTTGTCAACTAAATATAATGAAAAAGCAAAAGTCTTATAAAAAGAGTACTTGTAACTTGTAGTATTAAAGCATATACATTTTAATGGTTTCTTTCTCAGTAGAAAGAGTAAAAAATGCAAATTGCCAGAAAATGGTGAAGGAAGATGAAATTAAGAGTTGGGCTCTGAGTATGTTGAGAAAATGACTGAGGAAATGAAAACACGTGGGATGAAGCTGAGGAGAAAATTTGTTCAAACCTGTTTAAATACAGTGCTGTGGTACTTGATGAGTTGGTGGGGCTCTGTCTTGACCTATGGCCAAAGGATGTCTGTGTGTAGGATTCCTGAGTGCCACCCTCCCTCTGGCACAGCCCACATCTCACTGCCAAGGTCACTGGTCCCAGCCACCGTGTGCTGATGTCTGCAGCTCTGCCACATCCTCAGCATCCCTCCAGGCACCAGAGGCACTGCCAGGCCTCTCCCTGGTACCACACACACCTCACCAGGCAGGGCCTTCAATTTGTTCATGCTCCTGTCACTTCAGTGGTTTTTTGTTTGGAAAACCACCGTTCTGACAGTTGTGTTTGTAAATCATAAGCCACAGCCTCCTCAGAGGGATCTCAGCAGAAACAACTGAGTGTGAGCTTCCACAGTGAAATGTGGCTCCTGTCTGTGGAGTGACAGTAAAACCTGTGCTCGTATTTTGCTCCTCCAGACCCATTCTCTCAGCCTAAGGGAAAACAAGGCTTGTCTGGCTGTCAGGATTGCAAACTCAGGCTGACATCTGAAAACTGAGCTGTGCTCTCCTACCACCACCATCCAGCCCTGGACTTTGTACTTCACTCTTAACTTTGTTGATGCTGAAGGCAAAATTATCCACCATCATGACAATGACGCCCGTTGTTGTTAAGGAAATGCCTTCAGCACAAGGCACTATTCTCAGCTTTCTCAAAAGTTATCTTTTGTATTCTCATCTTTCATGCTTTTCCTCAGCCCAGGGGTGATTTTCTTCCCTTGTGAAAATGTAGCTAAATACTAACCAGCTATTAGTGAGATATTTTGGCTCTGGATGAGGCAGTTTCTCTAGATAAAATTCTAAAAGCTTTTTTTTGCTACTGGACAGTTTATAAATGACTTCTTTTAAACACTCTGAGAATCCTACACATCTAGTCTTTTGCAGTGCCATTGATTCCACTGGCATATTAAAATTAACAATAAGCAGAAATTGTCCCCTTATTTTTTCTCTCTATTAAGTTTAGAGTGGGTTTGATTAATAAAACCTGAATTCTCATCAGCTGCATGCTGACCTCCTCACTGAGACACATTCCCACTAACCTACGTGTGCACCTGCAGAGGAATTAGGGAGAAGCTGGCTGTGAATGCTGAGTTCTATTTTAATACCTGGGAAGTATTATAATGACATAACTATGTAGGCAGATCAGATAAATATTGACTTGTGGTTGACAAAGAGATGTTTTAAAATACCCACCAAGTGCTGGCTCCAGCCATGCACTTTCATTCCTGCTTTCCTGCTTTCCACTGTGTCCCTGGATGAGATCCTATCCCACTGGCATCAGTGGCAAGGCTCCCAGCTGCAATTTTACTGTAATACAGCCCTGTAAAGGGCTGTAATTTTACTCTTCAAATTAACATGTTACAAATTTTTGTGCGTTTTTCACATACCCAAGGAACAGGAAAAAGAAGACAAATATTCCCCAGGTACTTATGAGTGCATCTAGTAAATTTTACACTATTAAAAAACAAACCCAGAGGCAAACAATAAATAATTCCCCCAAGTAGGAGTACAAACACAGCACAGGCTGCCTCCCTCCTCAGTCCCTGTGAGCTGGTTCTAACAGGGGAGCCCTGTCATCATGGCCAGGGCTGAGTGTGTGCACACACCAGCAGGGAGGAGAGCACCCAACACATGATGTGGGCAAACCTCTGCTGACAGAAGATTGTGTTTGGAGAAGATAAAAGAAAATTAATCACACAAACAATTAAATGAGGTCTATGGAGTCTGCCCTGGACTGTGGATGGGATGATGAAGAGCTGTCCCTGGGATTCCTCACAGAGGCCATGTGGCCCCAGCCCAGGCTGATGAGATGGCTCTGCCATCTCGAGAGCAGTGGTACTCATGGGGCCTCGGTGAGCATCTCCTGCAGACAGCACAAACTGTGGCACAGGGACACAATGACTTGCTAAAAAAGCAAAGGAACATGGCTTTGGTTTCCAAGTGCTCTGGAAAAAATGCCTTGATGCAATCTTGCATAATTTGGGGTATTTGAGAATGAAAAAAAAGCAACAAACTTTAAATGAGTGTATGTTGAGCAAATAATGATTGTGCAATCCTTGTACAAAATATATTTCTGGGAATAAATATGGGGCTGTTCTAAAAAGAAAAAAAAATGCATTGATGGAACTAAGGTGCTAAATGTTTCAAACGTAGGAATCAGCAGGGATCACCTGTGGCAAGGTTTGCAGCCCTAGAACTTCAGGGGCATCTTCCAAGGGATAACTCCTCTTTTTCTGTAGGAAACTTCACAGCTGTATTTAAGGGATAAAATATTTAGAGATGTATCTTTAGAGGTGTATGTGTACATGTGATGTTACAATGTAGGCGTGCAAATATTTGGGAAAAGAAATAAAAGCTGGTTCCAAAACCGGACAAAATGAAACTGGGGACAGCTCAGGGTGCATTTTACACCATGAGATGAATTGACAGAATATGAGCCCATGTAGCATGGCATCCACACCTAACTGTTTTCCCCAAAGATCTTGGTGCGATTTAGACCATTCTATCTTCAGGGAGAACATCATGGCAGGAAAAACACCAAAGAAAAGGAACACGCTGAATGTCCTGTCCTTGCCGGGGGGTGACCGCGGGGTTGGGAGCAGGGGCGGGGAAGCGCAGGGCCGGCAAGGGGCGCTCCCGGGCGGGACATGGCACCTGTGCGGGAGGGACGGGGCGGGACATGGCACCTGTGCGGGAGCGGAGGGGCGGGACATGGCACCTGTGCGGGAGGGAGAGGCGGGACATGGCACCTGTGCGGGAGGGGCGGGACATGGCACCTGTGCGGGAGGGGAGGGGCGGGACATGGCACCTGTGCGGGAGGGACGGGACGGGACATGGCACCTGTGCGGGAGGGGAGGGGCGGGACATGGCACCTGTGCGGGAGGGACGGGACATGGCACCTGTGCGGGATGGGCGGGGCGGGACACGGCACCTGTGCGGGAGGGGCGGGCCGGGGCGGGGCGGGCGCACCTGCCCGCGGCCCCGCGGCCGGCGGGGCGCGCTGGGGCCGCGCAGCGCGGAGCTGGCGGCAGCATGGCCCGCCTGCTGGGCACCCTGCGCAGCTCCCAGCCCGTGGCGCGCTTCCAGCGCTCCTGCGGGCTCTTCCCCGCCGGCGAGGAGGGCGGCGGCAGCGGCGAGCCCGCGGAGGGGCCCCGGGACGGCGGCGCCTGCAATGGAGCGGGCGCGCTGCGCCGCCCGGCCCGCGCTGCCCCCGGCGGGGTGCGGAGCGGCCGCGGCCCGCAGGTGAGTGCGGGGGGGGGCCCGGCCGTGACTCAGCAGAGCCGCCCCCGGCACCGAGCGCGCAGGGATGCCCCGGGAGGGTCCCCCCGCATCCCGCCGCCCGCGGGATGGGAGGAGGGAAAAAGGGTTGGGGCTGCGAGCGGAGAGCGCTGTGCGCTGCCGCAGCCCGGCTGCATCCCGGCCCCGCCGGGGAGGCGTCCGTGGGCTCTCGGCTCTCCCCCATCGCTGAGTCCCCGGGATGGGGCACTCGGTGCGAGCGGAAGTTGCCTGCGGAAGGACCTGGGAGGCACCGCGGTGTCGCCCCGGGATGCGGCAGGGAAGGAGCAGCTCTGTTCTGTCTCCGAGCGGGGCGCACCTGCCGTGGTGCTGCGCTCTGCCCGGTCCCTGCCCGCTGCCCACGGTGTGCGGCTGTGCCCGGCCCCGGCCCCTGCCCGCTCCGAGCGGCTGTGCCCGGCCCCTGCCCGCTGCCCACGGTGTGCGGCTGTGCCGAGTCCCTGCCCGTGCCCGCTGCCTGCTCCGAGCGGCTGTGCCGGGTCCCTGCCCGCTGCCCACGGCGTGCGGCTGTGCCCGGTCCCTGCCGTTCCCCACGGTGTGCGGCTGTGCCGGGTCCCTGCCCGCTGCCCACGATGTGCGGCTGTGCCCGGCCCCGGCCCCTGCCCGCTCCGAGCGGCTCAGCCCTGCTGGCGCAGCCGAGCTGCCCATGGAGCCGCGCAGCGCTTCCCGCTGGCCAGGCAGGTCGCGGCGTTTCCCGGCACAGTCAGTAATTCCCCCGTGTATCAGAAGGAACAGGGAAAGGTATGATGCAAGCCGTGTGTACAGGTCGGACAACCTGCTTTTTGTCTTACTGTAATGACTCGAATTCATTAGCAGATCGTTTTGTGGTGCCTTTTGGAAAGCAGGCGTGATAATGGGCTTTCAAATGCTACCTGCAACATAAACATGGACCAGCCATGAATGTCGTAACTCTACCACTCCTTCCCTTCCGTGCTATTTTACTCTTCCCTGTTCCCCATCCAGTGCTCAGATTCCCATTTCAAGCATCTAAAATTCTTCTTTAGCTGCTGCTTGACTCTTTCTCAATTAGATGTAGTTCAGTGTGTTCACTTCTGAACTACAGTAAGCTCTATTTTGGGTAAACTATGCAGGTAATTCACTAAAAGATTTATTGTCACTGCTTTCTTTTGAACAGTGACATAGTTCATGTAGCAGTGTTGATACTCAATCCTGTCCAAGTTAATGCTCCATGAATGCAGCTGTTCACCTTAAGCAATTGTTTTGGGTTTCATGAAGCAAGGCACAATTACCTTTATGTGAAGGGTGAATGTGTTCTGCTTGAGACTCCATGAAACTTGGAGATAGAAGCAGAAGGATTTGATTCCACATAATTATGACACTCTGAAACATGAAAGTTGTGTTCAAACACCCCCAAAATGGAGATAGGAGTAATAGATTGAACAGTGTTTCAGTGAAGTGCTAGAATTATAAAGACATGCCCTCTCTGTTCCTTTTTATCTAAACTGGAAATGGAAAGTCCATTTTTACAAGGAGCATCTTTTGCAACTTGATAAGAAATGTGAAAAGTGAATTTGGGTCTCCCTTAGGCTAAGGCTCAGACCCCCTGCTTTGTTGCTAAATGACCTGAGGTTACCCTGATGTATCTGCAAGTAAACACGTTTAGGAATCTCATTTAAATAGCAAATTCCTTGGCCATGAATTCTCTATGGATAGTGTCATTTTCTTGCTACTAGCTGCAGGTGTTTGCAGAGAGGTGCTAAAGTGCTGCTCCTGCATCTCCCTCCTGGAGCCTTGTGTGGCTCTGTGCTCATCCATGTCTTCCCGAAACTTGGGAGTTTCAAAGTCCTTGTCATCAGGACAGTTGATTTCTATAGGGTTGTAACTTTCACACTGCTTTGTCTTTACTGTCACAACTGTCTTAAAGATTCTCAGGTTCTCCTGTGTAAGTCCTTGGACAACCACTAGGTTATACCTGTAAAACCAGAGCATTTTGCATGCAGTGAAGAAGGTGTGAATGGCTTGCTGGATGATGGGACTGGCACAGCTCCAAGTCTCCAGGACATCCCCCCGTTCTTCAGTGCCAGCTCTCAGGCCCCTGCATCTGACCTGGGCTGGACGTGTGCCAGGGTGGCCCAGCTGGAGAGACTGGGGAGAGGCAGCTGAGGGCTGGTGGCACTTTGGGAGGGGATGGACACACCTGGTAGGGAAGATGCCATACTGCAATGAGAGGAGAGAGGATGTCTCAAAGAGGTAAAAGGACAGAGCAGCTCTTCCTCTGGAAGGAGGAGGATTTAATTATTGCAAACATTTGTGCCAGGAGTGCTGCTCGCGATTCATGATCATCTTTATGTATAACCTGGGCATGAAGTGTGTGTTTAAAAAAAAAAAAGCCACAATGCCTGATTACAATGGCCAGCAGCAGCATGAGTGGCTGTGTTCCTGAATCTTTGTAAATCAGTCCTGCCTGCCCCACAGGAGTTGCCATGAGATTAGACAGGGAATGAAGGGCTTAGATGTGACAGCTGTGGCTGCATGCAGTTCTTAAATATTGAATCAGTCACCTAGCCTGCATGCTTGATGTTCCCTGGTTGACTTTTGAATACCTCAACTGCCCACTCTGGTGTCTGTGGGTGATACAGAATGGTGCTAGTCCAACACACTAACCGGGTTTATGTCCTGGCTTGGACTAGATATTGAATCTATGGGCTTTTGGTGGAGAACCTGTCTGGGTTTATTACTACAGAAGACAAGAGAGCAATTCCTTGTAATTATCCTGTCTATGGTTAATACTAGTTTCTTTTCTGTACTGCTTTCTATTATTAGTTTTTCACCAGAAATGTATTTCTGGAACAGCTGTAAGGTATCTTTTCCTTACGCTTTGTAGGAAATCCTCGAGCTGTGCTCTTAAAAACACAAATATACTACCTGAAGCTGGTGTTCTCTGAGTGGTCAAATAAAGGCCATGTATATTTTTAAAGTGGAGCTTTGCTTATCTCTAATCTCCTGGTGGACTTTTGCTCCTGGAACTGATAGCCTTAATGAAAGGGTAGGAAAGAAAACAACAGCCTTCTATTCGAAGTTCTTTGTAGAGATTTGTTTGTCTTTCTCCACTCTTCCTCTCCCAGATGCTTTATCATCTCAAGATCTGTCTTCCTGCCTTGGAGAGAGTACAGTTCATGTTTACACTGTAGTTATTCCTTAACTGTCAGAACTGCTCTGAGCTGGCACCATGCTTACAAACTGCCTGATGCTGTTTAGTGATTGTATGGTTCCTGCTCGTGCTGTAGGTGAGGAGGATAATAACCAGGATAACAGCCAGGTGGTGGTAACAGAAACAGAGAAGGTGGGTACAAACTGCACCTCCATGTCAGATGTATTACAGTCCCCAAAAATGTGGTAAATTACTTGCAAGATATAGATGAAAACACTGTTTTTGCTGTGATGGGATGGTTGGTAATTTGAAGCATGTTTGCTCTAGAGCATGAGTCAAGGTCTCTCTTCTGTGGTGGTCCCTTGCAATAGATTTTTGTATCAGCCTCAGAGTATTGCTTTTTCTTTTTAAATGGTTTTGCAGGCTTACTTTGTTTCATGTTGTTTCCCCTTCCATGCAGCAGTAAGTTGGTGGTAGCTGAGGCAGGTTCAGCAGGAGAGGCAAACCCTTGTGAAAAAAGCCCACGAGCACTGCTAGGAGAACAGGCTCTAGTGCTAACACTTTGTGCCCCTAGAGAATACAGCTGAACTTTTGGAAGCTCCTCAGTTTGGAGCTGCAGCTGGGGAAACATGAGCTGCAGTTTCTGGTTTCAATGGGCTGAGCACAAGGCTCACATTCCCCAGCATCACTCTGGCTCTCTGTGGTCACATCTCCCCTTCCTGGAGAAGGTGGGAGCTCGCCCATCCTGCAGGTGTCCAGGTCTTGGTTTGAGGCTCTAGCAGCCAGTGAGGGATGGTGTTCATTCATCATGAATGAGATGGCTTCATGGAGGGTTTTGGCCAGCCCTGAGTGAGGGTCCTTTGGAAGATGACAGCAGAATCACATCCAAGATTCAGGTAGTGTGGGCAGCCCTGGGAGAATCTGTTAGCACTGGGTTTGCCTCTCCTCAGGGAGCAGCCTTGCATCCCCTCTGCAGAATAGGCTGCAAAGACAGCTCTGTGCTGTTTGTTACCATCTCAGCTTCAGGATCCTGCTGCAGAATCCCCCGGAGCTCACAGGAGTTTGTGAAGCTTTGCTGATTCCTGTGTGGTGCTGAGACAGTGGGTGCTGGTGCAGGGCACACGAGGGGCTGTGCTGGCAGCCCAGCTCCTTACACTGATGATGATGATGTGCTTCATGGCTCACAGCCTGAGTCATCTTTTTGGAGGCCACTGGACCTCATAATGAGGAGCTGTCAGGATCCCAGGATTAATTCCAGTGCTTGGAGGTGAGCCACTCACTGCTTTATAATTCTGCTGACTGTCTTGGGCCATTACTTCAGATATCAACCAGAATAATAAAAGTTAATCTGCTGTTGTTTTTCTCGTTTGGGTCTCTGGAGAACAGGAGTGCATTTAACAAACAAGAAGCCAGAAAAAATGTGTTCTGGAAAATCCCTTTGGACAGCCAGTTGTTGCAATTTATCTCATTTTTATGCTCTGCAGAGAATGTGTATGGGTCATCTGGGCAGTGGAAGATGACTAATGACTGCTATAGCAAGTAAATCTGTGGTCTAGAGGGTACAGGTAGTGTTGTCTAAACCATGATTTTTTTATTTAAAATGTCTGTTCACTTTCCTGCTTTAAAGGCATTCATATCAGTCTGGTTTGGTGAGCACCTGTAACTTACTTTCCCAAGGTAAACTGCTATTGGTCTAGATGTAGAGGAGTGTGAATGCTTTAATATGGACCTAAATTGCTGATTTATTTATTTTATTACTAAATTTTGGAATATTTATTACTAGATATAAAAATAAAAAAAAAAACATGTTTAATCCTTCCTTTTGAAGACAGCTGGC